AAAAAAAAAAAAAAAAAAAAAAAAAAAAAAACTCCCAAAAAAAAAAAAAAAAAAAAAAACCTTAAGCTGAGGGATCAGCAGATGGCATAATGGTTACATTGTTGGACTCCCATGTAGTTAACCATGGTTTAAACCCCAGAACCAGCAGTTTAAAACTCGTGGCAGATGTGTGTTCCTGTGTGCCCAAAATCCCAAGAGAAGAATGGAAAAGGGATTGCGGTGTGGCCATCGCCCACGCCCCCCTGGAGGGGAGTGATTTCTTGCTTTCTGTCTATCTTTGTCTCTCTGGAAAACACTATGCCATATAACAAAAATCTCTAACTCGGAAAAGAAAAAAAAGAAACCTTAAGCTGAAAGTTGTGATTAAAAAAATAAATTATTCTTGCTTTACTATTTTATTTTGTTTAGTTTGCTAGAAAGTGTTTGTGTTTGCCAGGAGAAGCAGAGAGAGGGAAAATGAGAACATACCTCCTGGGGGTATGGGCACACCACAACCTTTTCTCCGTTCGCTTCTCAGAATTTTGGGCACACACACGCTTGGCATGTTTTTCAAGCCACTGGGTCTAGGACTCAAACCGCACAGATGACCCTGGGGGATCCAGCAGTCTCAACCATCACACCATCAGCAGGCCTGGCGATCTTCTGCTTCTACTCTCCCTTCCAGAACATGGGTTTTTCTTTTCTTTTTTCTTTCTTTTCTTTCTTTTTTTTTTTTTTTTTTTTGGTTTTTACTATAGGGTGCCTATACTCACTGGAGAGCAGCAAGAGCTGAGAGAGAGAGGGAAAGTGAGAATGACCCCGTGGGTGGATGGCCACGCCACACTCCTTTTCCTCTACTCTCCTCTCGGGATTGTGAATATGCACGCACATGCATGCATCCAGCGTGTTTTCCAAGTCACTGAGTCCAGGACTCAAACCATGCACTATACCATGTGGGATTCAGCTGCTGTAACCCCCATGACACCTCGCTGGTCCTGGGTTTTATTTTATTAACATCCTGTAGGATGACATAATATTGTACATTTGCTCTAGCTACGTTTTATACACATCATGATCAAATCTAGAAGTTTTTAACATTTCTATGGGGCAGCAAAGAAAGAGTTTTCTTTGGAAAGGAAAAGATGATGCTTACCAAATTATTTTAAAACATTTGAAAATGCTAATATCTAAAAAGAATTTGGGGGGAGGGCAGCAGGTGGGTGGTCTGGTGGTTGAAGCGCTGGACTCCTGCATGACCAATCACGGTTCAAGTCCTAGACCTGGCAGCTTGTTTTCTTACTTTCTCTCTCTCTCCATGCAAATTAAAAAATAATAATAATAAAATTTAATAATTAATCTTTTTCTCTCTGAGCATTTCACCACTCTTCTACAATAATCATTAACTATAACTATACATTATAGTGGGAAATAATTCATTTCTGCTTCCTGCGGCAAATGGCATTGGCCATCCCCAGGCTTTTTTTGCTTTGTTTTGTTTTTTTTAAGCCAGAATCCACTGTCATGATTCCAAAAGTGACACATGGTATATTTATTTCTGAAATTTATTTCAGGTGACAGGATACCCACAGACTAACAAAATAAATATAGAATTAAATGGCACTTCCGAATCCCAATTTTACTTCCTAGCAGAGGTAGGAGGCAATCTCGCCAACAGGACTAGTCTATCCATTTTTTTTTCCTACCTTCCCTTCCCGCCAAATTTGAGAGCCATTTATAACAGCAAGAGTATTTCACACTCGGATAATGTATACCCAATACAGACAGTATAGAAAGAGATTAGGCAACCTAAGTTGAACTTTTAATGATAAACTTTTACATTTGAGGGAGGGGAAGGAAATAAAGAGGGTAGATGGATTCATATGATGAAGAAAAATATAACAGGGCTTAATTTATTTTGACAAGAACCACAATTCTATTTGTCCTGGCCCAGGGAGAATTTGTGTCGAGCAATTTCATTCATCGTACGGTGCCTAGCACATCATGGTGTGGTAAAATATTAAATAAATATATGTTGGCTGGTGAAAAGTGTAAGGGCAATGCTGTGTACACAGGAAACAGAAACTCAAGGTGGTCAGACAAATTAGAAAGCAATGCAAAGTTTGATTCTGGGTGTCAACATTTTCATGTTATACAACCGGGGAAAACAAATGTGACTAAATTCTGCCCACATTCATAGCTCAACATGTTGTTCCTCTTTGGGTGCTAAAACTTTATTTGCAAAAGGAAGGCTATGATTAGGTTAATATATTTTAAAAATACTTATACACATGTCATTTTATTTCTTCTTGAATTTAAACAGGTTGCTTACTAGGATCCCTTGCATTTCTAACAGCAATATGCCACTTGAATCTTAACCACAGAAGCACCTATTCACTAGACTACAGCTAGCCTTGAACTTTCAGTGATGCCATATGCTTTTAAATTAACCCTTCTAAGTACTGTATCAAGCTCATAACACAGATGGCTAGCTTATAGCGGAATTAGGTTACTACAAAATACTCATCAGGCAAACTATAGAAAATAAAGGAAACATACATTTTTCCTAAAGCTCCATGAATGCCAAAATTAATGATGATATAATGAGAATTTGGGATTATGCCATTATAATTTGACTGCTGGATCTCAATGACTTACACATTTTAAGTTAAACTACAACCTTAAAACGATCTTTTTTTGGGGGGGAATCACATTTTAAAATAATGTTTAATGGAAGGTCTATTAAAATCACAATGGATCATAGCTGTCAACTTCAAACAGTGCCTTTCTCCTAAAGAGCTTAAGTTTACACACTGGTGCAACAACACAAATGCAGATGCTACAAAGAGAACTACAAAGGAAAACAAATTTTATTCAAAACACTTTTCATATAAACTTTTCCTTCTGCAGACTTGTGTGGAGTTTGAAAATAAAGGATGCTAATATGCACATTAGGCAGTACATCAATAAAAAAAAAAGAAAGAGAGAAAACACTTTAGTTGAGTAAATATTCATTTATCTACTGAAATCTGGGAGAATTCACATCAAATGTATTCCAAATGTACCCCCAAGTGACAGAAAAATACTATATGAAATGGAAAAAAAATTAAATATTATTTAATCAACAGCTGATTACCTTTAAAACTTTGGGCTTCTTTTCCCTCTGGGGCCTCTTGTTTTCCTTTACAACCTAAAAAAAATCAAATTGCAACATGAGCCTCTGTGTAAGAAAAAAAAAAAAAAAAGCTCCCACCTCCCCAGAATTTTTGGCTATTTCACTGTAAAACTACTTATACCATTTAAAATCGTCTGCTAGGCAGAACCTAAAGCGCTTATGTAAAATGTACACTTTAAAAGTCACTGAAAAAAACCCTTGCATAGAGATGAAGTAGGGCAATACCCTTTTTCCCCTTAAAGTCTGTCTTAATTAGCCTCTGCATTCTTCACAGCGAAGCCCACGAGGTAGCCATCTTGCTTGCTTCTGCAGAGGAAGCCTCTACAGTGGAACAGTTCTGCAAACTGCTTTTTGGTATTATTATCATGGTGTTTAAAGGCAGCCCTGGCCTGCCAGCACTGTAGACGTGCTGGGCATGCCTTTTGCAAAAACAGCCCCACAAAGAGTGCAGCCAATGGCAATGCAGAGCTTAGCAACTCCAAAGTGATCTTCTCAGCCTAGCCCTTCCTAGACAAAGGATCTCCTGTGCGCTCTGCTCTCACCACAGGACACAGGCAGCCACAAGCTGCGACATGGAGTTCGCTGCAGAGGATCTGGTCGCGCCGAAATCACAGGAGGCTTCCACAAAAACAATGCACACAAATCCCCCAGGTCGCCACCATCGGATCGATGGCGGAGTCTCCCTGATTAGTAACCTCTCGGTGGCTCTGAGGGCAGGTCTGCGTGGGGGAGGGGTGCGGCGCTCTGCCTCCAACCTACAGGAGATATAACTGAGCCTAGGGGGGCATTCGGGCTTGCTGAAACTCTGGAAGGTATTGTGCATTTTTACTTTATAAGGCAAGGCTAAATATTGGCGATATTTAAGGCAGGGAGGTTATGTGAGGACAGTGTAGGCTCAGCTGTTGGGCTGCGTGTCTCATTCCTCGGGAACCACACCTCTTTGCAGCAGGCGCTTTGCCCAGAAGCACAGCAATTTGATTTCTGTCAATAAATGTCCAATGACAAAGGCGGATTAATAAATAACAATAAAGCCACTTAAAAGAAGGAGGACAGGATGAAGACGAGGAGAGGGGGAGGAGTTTTCAGAATGCACTTGCTACTGTGAGTGGCCAGAGAAGAAGGATTTCTCTTGCGCTCTGGGTATTTCCAATGACCTTCATTTCCCAGAGAAATCCCTGCCCTACCAAAAGGCAGACTGGGACGCATCCTTTTGGTTCCTTTCTACCAAGATCATCACCGAGCATGCATCTGCAGAGATGCCAAGCAAGTCTATGCTGGAGCCCATTTGAGCACCAGCCTGGCTGTCAGAGCCACTCATTTCCCAGGGGCCAGGGTCTGAGCTAGAGGTGGAACAAACCAGGGTCTTCCCACACACTCCTGGACTGCCCTCACACCCTGTGAGTGGTAGGCAATGGGAGAGTGGGCACCTTGGCTGGCACTTGCTGAACACCAGGGAACAGGCAGGACCAAAGGAGTCTCCCCCTTCCCATCATCCGCTAACATTTCAACAACAGCAACAGAACCAGCGCAGCTGGAGAGCAGGCTAGTCTCAAGGTCACTGTCCAAAGGCAGTGCAGAGGCCGGTCACAGTCCCCTTACAGCCACCTTGACAGCTGCATAGATCTTGAGAAGACAGCCCGAGCTCCAGCCTTGAAGGGCCAAAGTTTTAGCGGCACATTTGGGGGATTGGCAGGACCGCCTCCCAGGCTGCTCAGCCAAAGATGGGTTTTCCACTTGCAGTTGGATTCCGAACAGATTCCCACAACCAGAAATTGGGACTGGAGGAGGGCTGGAGTGCCTGCATTTCCTCACTCTTCGTTTCTAGTTTTTCAGTTTGGCGCAAAAGCACCCTTTCCTTGTTGAAATAGGAATTCCAACATGCAATATTTTCCCAATTTTAAATGACCTCTCCCCCATGCACTGCTCCCTCCAAATTTTAACGAATTCATGTAAGAAAAAAATACATAACATACTGGGTGTGGTGTTCTCAATTCTTCCTTAAACACTTACAATGAAACCAATGGATTCCGACCTAACCACATCCACCAGCACAACTTCAAACACTAAAGTTCTCTGTGTGGAATGAAGCCACCATGAAACAGGTAGAAAAACAGGACCAAATAAAACATGGCTTAAAAATGTGTACAAGAGCCAGCAGATGGCATAATGGTTACATTGCTGGACTCCCACATGGCCAATCATGGTTTGAGTCCAGGACCCAGCGGCTTCAAACTCAGGCTGGACGCCTGTGCATGTGTCCACAAAATCCCAAGAAGAAAATGGAGGAGCAGGGATTGCGGAGTGGCCATCCCCTCTTGGGGGTGATTTATCACTTTCTGTCTCTGGTGAGTGCATGAGCCCAATAGCAAAAAAACTTAAAAATCTCTCTTAAAAAAATAGATAACGAAAGCTTTTAGTTTCATATCTCCACATTCTTTTCTTTTTAGTTATTTTTTTAATGATCAGAGAGCATGTGTGCTCACCAGAGAGAGAAAGAGGAGACTTGGAAGAGGGTGTTAGGGGGGATGTCATTAGAAAATTTGTAATAGACACAAAAATTCATATAATTTTTTTTGAGAGATTTTTGTTATAGGGCCTGTGTGCTCACCGGAGAGACAGAGACAGAAACCGAGAAATTGGCCTTCCTTGGAAGGATGGTCACACCACAATCACTTCTCCTCCATTTCTTCTCTAGGGATTTTGGACAAGCACACAGGCTTCCAGTGTTGAGTTTCAAGCCGACAGGTCCAGGACTTGAACTACAGTAGACTATGTGGGAATCCAGCAATATAACCATCATGCCATCTACTGGTCCCAAAAATGCATGTAATTAAGAGGTAGAGGGTCAGTCTGTTGACTGGTTGCTGAGGTGGCTGAATCCCACATGGCTAACCAACTGATTTGAGTCCCACACCGACAGACATGAAAACACAGGGGTATATCTGCATATGTGCACACAATACTGATAGGAAGGAGTTGGAGATGGGATTGCAGCAAGACTGTCCATTGGAGTGGAGGATGCTTCCTCACTTTCCCAGGCTGTCTGTTTTTCTCCAGGAAGTGTACCAACCCTCAGTCAAATTAATAATAGTAACAGTAATAATGGAAAGACACTATGGTATCATAGCAGAGTAAAAAATAAGGTCAATTTGATACCTATTCATAACAAAAAGTAGAATTATTAACAAATGCAAATAATGTAATGTTCAATGTTGAAGAGGAATATGGATATGTCGTTGATTTGATTATTGTACACTGTATGCATGCCTTTAAAAGCTACCCTTTAACCACAAAGATATATATCAATTAACTGTTCACCAAAAATCATAATTTAAAAAGTGGCATAAAGAGGGTCAGCAGGTGGCATGGTGGTTAAGGTGTTGGTACTCCCACATGGCCGACAGCATTTCAAGTCCCAGGCCTAGTGGCTTGAAAATCACACTGGGCACGAGTGCATGTGTGCCCAAAATCCCAGAAGAAGGGATTGTGGCATGGATATCCCCTGGGAGGAAGAGGGAGAATGATTTCTCATTGGCCCTTTCAGTGTCTCTGGCGAGGGATCATACTCTATGGCAAAAACCTTTAAAAAAAAAAAAGACAGAGGGAAAGGGAGAAACAGAAAGGAATTTCTGCCCAATGGGGTCATGCCACAATCCCTTCTCATTCACTCTTCCATCCCCTAAGGATTTTTTGCACATGGATAAACACCTATCCAATGTGCTTTTCAAGCCACAGGGTCACAATTTGAGCTGTGGTCAGTCATATGGAATCTAGCTGTTTTTACCACTATGCAGTGGAGTGGCCCTCTTTGCTTCCTTTCTTTCTTAGGTTTTTATTGCAGCAAAATATGCATAACAAAAAACTTATGGTTTTAGGGGCTGGCAGGTGGCTTGTGGTTGGGGGTGCTTGACTCTCACATGGCCGACCATGGTTCAAGTCTGGGACCTGGAGGCTTGCTTTCTCTCTCTCTCAGGTCGAATTAAAAAATAATGATAACAAATGGAATTAAATAAATGAATTAATAATTCTTTAAAAATTACAGTTTTAACTTACTTTTTGGAAAGAAAAAAAGCTTTAAAGAATTATTTTATTTAACTTTATTTAATTTAAAGTTGACCAGAGAGGGACAGAGTGAGAGTGACAGAGAGAGAGAGAGAGAGAGAGAGAGAAAGCAAGCCTCCAGGTCCAGGACTTGAACCAGTTTGCCATGTGGGAGTCCAGCTCCTTAACAACCATGCAACCTGATAGCCAAAATGTTAAAGAAATGTATCTATATATTGAGTTGTAAGAAACATAGTTTTTATGTTTTTCAATTAAAAAATGTATCATGATTTTTCTGACGACCCCATATTTTCCTCTTCATGTGTAGCTGATTCTAAGACAATATTTAAGTAACCTAGAGATGATTTAAATTATACAGGAGGGTGTGCATTAGGTTACATGTAAAAGTTATGCCATGGTGGTTTGAGTCTCAGACTAGGTGGCTTGAAAATCATGCCAAGCACATATGTGTGCAAGCCCAAGATCTGGGGAGGAAAATGGAAGAGAAGAGATAGCAACGTGGCCATCCCCCCTGGGGTTCAGGGGTGATTTCTTTTTGGAGAGGTTTTTGCTATGGGGTGCGTGCACTCACCAGACAGACAGACAGAGACAGTGAGAGGGAAAGTGAGAAATCACCCCCCAGGGGGGATGGCCACACCGCAATCCTTCTCCTCCATTCTCCTCTTGGGATCTTGGGTACACACGTACATGAGCCTGGCGTGATTTGAAGCCCCGGGGGCCAGGACTCAAACCATGGTTGACTACATGGGAGCCCAGCGACATAGCCATTACGTAAACTGGTTAAGGGAGGTGATTTCTCACTTTCCCTCTCACTGTCTCTGTCTGTCTCTCTCTCTGTTGAGCACACACACCTTAAGGCAAAAATCTCTAAAAGAAAAAAGTCATTTTATTTCTTACTTTATTTTATTTGCAATAGGGCATGTGTGCTCACATTGAAAGAGGGAGAGAGAAAA